ACTAGGGATGGGAATTTGAAAGCAAATGTATATTCGAATATTCGACCCCCCAAAAAACGGTTAACTGAAATGTACATATCCTATAAAAAAAAAAACATTGGGTAAAAAAAAAAACTGTCAATAACTTTTGTAAATAAATACATGTTCAAATAAGTTTAGAAACCAAGTCGAATTAGTCAAATGTATTGAACTGGTGATCACAGTTTGACAGCTATAGCCTACAGCTTTCATGTGAGGGGTTCACAATCAGCCCAGCTGGAGAGAACACCCTCAGCTGGAACGGAGGTTGCGGGTAGAGCAAGGTATAGCATGTATATATTAGTTTAATTTGGCATAGTGTGACCTCTACACCGCACTCACTAACCTGGTCGTTTTGACGCCATGTCTGTGTAGGACTCTTCTTAGAGTGTGAATAATTACCGGACTATGACTGGTAACATATGTTGAATTCCGGCAAAACTAAATCTCTCCTGTCAAAATGTCTCCGTACTTTGCCACTTCACACGGTTGCCAAGCAGCGCTTATTGTTGTTTAGGCTGGCCATGTGTCGCGAGTGTTGACAGGGGGCGGGGGAGCCTAACCCTAATCTGATGGATTTGGACATAAACGCGAGTGAAGTATAACCGGAGGAGAGAGAGAGATCTGCAGCTCTGCCCGCTGTGAGGGGCCGGTGAGCGGAACACACCTTTAGACCTCACACACTCAGCATTTGATCATATGTAATTAACTTAGGCACCCCTCCCAAAAAAAAATCTAAAAATTAATAACTCATATTCGAATACCTGAATAATTTCGAATAATCGTTCCCATCCCTAATATAAACCAGTAAAATCGATCGGGTTCAGTTCTGCGTCTCTTAGCATTAGCACGGTTAGCTTCAGGTGTGTGTGATCAGTCTCAGATAATGTGGTTGTGTTTATACATCACAGCTCAGCGTGGTGCATGTTATCATCACTGACCAATCACAGCTTCTGTATCTGAGCCAGGGCGATCACACCTGGCAGGTATTTAATAACAGGGTTTATTTATGTATGGGGAGTCACCAGAATGCTGTAACACAGGTTTATCAGAGAGGGTGTGTGTCAGGGTGTGTGTGTCAGTTTGCTCACCGCGAACAGAGCTGGTCCCATGTACGTCTCCATGTACTGATAATACAGAGACATGATCTTCACCAGGTTCTGCAGCGCCGCCACGCGCACCTGAACACAGAGAGAGTTATCACAGAGTCTGCACTGCATGCTAACACCACCTGAACACAGAGAGAGTTATCACAGAGTCTGCACTGCATGCTAACACCACCTGAACACAGAGAGAGTTATCACAGAGTCTGCACTGCATGCTAACACCACCTGAACACAGAGAGAGTTATCACAGAGTCTGCACTGCATGCTAACACCACCTGAACACAGAGTTATCACAGAGTCTGCACTGCATGCTAACACCACCTGAACACAGAGTTATCACAGAGTCTGCACTGCATGCTAACACCACCTGAACACAGAGAGTTATCACAGAGTCTGCACTGCATGCTAACACCACCTGAACACAGAGAGTTATCACAGAGTCTGCACTGCATGCTAACACCACCTGAACACAGAGTTATCACAGAGTCTGCACTGCATGCTAACACCACCTGAACACAGAGTTATCACAGAGTCTGCACTGCATGCTAACACCACCTGAACACAGAGAGAGTTATCACAGAGTCTGCACTGCATGCTAACACCACCTGAACACAGAGAGAGTTATCACAGAGTCTGCACTGCATGCTAACACCACCTGAACACAGAGAGTTATCACAGAGTCTGCACTGCATGCTAACACCACCTGAACACAGAGAGTTATCACAGAGTCTGCACTGCATGCTAACACCACCTGAACACAGAGAGTTATCACAGAGTCTGCACTGCATGCTAACACCACCTGAACACAGAGTTATCACAGAGTCTGCACTGCATGCTAACACCACCTGAACACAGAGAGTTATCACAGAGTCTGCACTGCATGCTAACACCACCTGAACACAGAGTTATCACAGAGTCTGCACTGCATGCTAACACCACCTGAACACAGAGAGTTATCACAGAGTCTGCACTGCATGCTAACACCACCTGAACACAGAGAGTTATCACAGAGTCTGCACTGCATGCTAACACCACCTGAACACAGAGTTATCACAGAGTCTGCACTGCATGCTAACACGTGGACGCGGAGCCGGGACTCACCCTGTTGTCGGGACACTGCGTGGCCTCACACACCACCTGCATGATGAAGTGTCTCTCCGTCTGAAACACAAACACAAACACTTGGTCATTTCACAATCACTAGTATTTACACAGACTAACCTGTTCCACCCCGATCCCGGGAACAAACTCAGCGAACTGAAAAACCCACAAAGCGCTCAGCCTCTGAATTAGCCACGAGCTAAAAACGCTAACATGGCTCACCTGTACCGTAGTCTGGTCAAAAGTGGTCTTCAATGGCATTAAAACGATAAAGACGCTGCTGAAGTTAATCCATAGGTTAATCCAATGTGTCCCTTTGAATGATTTCTGATCATCCATGAGCAATAAACCTGCTTTTCCGTTTCCAGATGTCAGAGCTAGAGACAGCTTCACTCTGGTGAAAAACTGTTTGCGCGAAGCCCCTACCTTTTTGTTTTACCGTGTGTGTGAGTGGGGAGATTCCCCTTCGATTCTATTGGCTCTAACGGTCAGAAAGAGATGTCAATCAGCAAAATCGACTAATGGGTTCCAGAGAAACGGTAAAACCCCCATTTCCACCCAAATCACCTCAGAGGTGGAGTTTTTTGCTAAACCTCTAAAAAAGGTCAAAGGTCACTTGTTTTGCATCAATCTTGATACAGGGTACTTATTATATGTTGTACTTTGGATTCCTAAAGCTTTTAGTCTACCTTACCATCATCCAAGGTTAGTTTTCACTATAAGTACAAAATAATTTTTGGACGGACACTATCATTTACAGTTTTTTACTGTGTTCAATCTGAATTTTCTTTAATATAAAAACATCTATATTGATTCTGACTGTTCTACATCCAACTCACAGGTTTATGGTTACTTTGAGAACAAAGATTATTCATGTAACCCTTTTAGAAGATATGGTCCTTTGTTCTGGGAATGTCCTTTTGGAGCCTGAGACCTGAAACACAGGCTCTGTGTGTGTGTGTGTGTGTGTGTGTGTGTGTGTGTGTGTGTGTGACTGACTGTGTGTTGGTCTCAGATGTTGTGGTTGTGTTTATCCATCACACTTCAGAGTGGTGCATGATTTCTCTTCATAGACCAACACACACACACACACACACACACACAGTATTACACTGATTTATTTAGGAAACTACAGCGGCCTGTAAGGGTCAGGTCAAAGTGTGTGTGTGTGACTGTTTGTGTTTCAGTGTGTGTGTGTACCTCCTTGTCGAAGTTGGCCTTGGTGAACTCCAGAGAGTTGAGCAGAGCCATGGTGGCGGCCAGCTTCACGTTGTTGCTCGGCTCCTCCTTCCTCATGCCCTGGATGATGGCCGTCAAGATCTGGTTGGCGTTTTCCTGCAGCTGCTCGGGGTCCTGAACGCACCACAGAGCTCACATTAAAACCTGCTCGGGTCCTGAACGCACCACAGAGCTCACATTAAAACCTGCTCGGGTCCTGAACGCACCACAGAGCTCACATTAAAACCTGCTCGGGTCCTGAACGCACCACAGAGCTCACATTAAAACCTGCTCGGGTCCTGAACGCACCACAGAGCTCACATTAAAACCTGCTCGGGTCCTGAACGCACCAGAGAGGAGGGGAGCCTAACTTTTTATTTAATATCCAACTCTCTGTGCAGCTGAGTGACGGATCAAGAGTTTCTGCTTTTAGTTTCATTTTTATATTAAAAAGGCGATAGTTTTTTATTGTGTGTGTGTGTGTGAGTGTGAGTGTGTGTCTGTGTGAGTGTGTGTGTGTGTGTGTGTGTGTGTGTGTGTGTGTCTGTTGGTCTCAGATGTTGTGGTTGTGTTTATCCATCACACTTCAGAGTGGTGCATGATTTCTCTTCATTGACCAACACACTAGGGCTGCAACGACTAATTTAATAGTCGATTAATGAAACGATTAACTGACTATTCGGACTATTGCTGCACGCCTTGCACAATTTCTCAAGCGCTCTGATTTAGCTCAACCTTTAGATGTAGCTTGAGGCTGTTTTAGGCGTGTGGAAACTAGCAAGACAATAAAGATGAATACTTGATTCAAAAATACATATATTATTAAATTAACTTCACAAGTTGTTTACTAAATTAACATTGCTTTTTATTTAAACTAAATAAATAATATTTCACATCAAAAGAAACGACAATGTTTTAACAAATGGTATTAAATAATCTGAGGACTGAACTGTAAACAGAATAGCTGAAACTGTAACTAACTAAATAACTCTGTTTCCTCTAATCATTAACTCGTGTTTGTATCATGGAGTTAACTCCGTGTTGCTGCTAGCACACGGAGTTAACTCCGTGTTGCTGCTAGCACACAGAGTTAACTCCGTGTTGCTGCTAGCATACAGTTAACTCCGTGTTGCTGCTAGCATACAGTTAACTCCGTGTTGCTGCTAGCACACAGAGTTAACTCCGTGCTGCTGCTAGCACACAGAGTTAACTCCGTGTTGCTGCTAGCATACAGAGTTAACTCCGTGTTGCTGCTAGCACACAGAGTTTACTCCGTGTTGCTGCTAGCACACAGAGTTAACTCCGTGTTGCTGCTAGCACACAGAGTTAACTCCGTGTTGCTGCTAGCACACAGAGTTAACTCCGTGTTGCTGCTAGCATACAGAGTTAACTCCGTGTTGCTGCTAGCACACAGAGTTAACTCCGTGTTGCTGCTAGCACACAGAGTTAACTCCGTGTTGCTGCTAGCACACAGAGTTAACTCCGTGTTGCTGCTAGCATACAGAGTTAACTCCGTGTTGCTGCTAGCATACAGTTAACTCCGTGTTGCTGCTAGCATACAGTTAACTCCGTGTTGCTGCTAGCATACAGTTAACTCCGTGTTGCTGCTAGCATACAGTTAACTCCGTGTTGCTGCTAGCACACAGAGTTAACTCCGTGTTGCTGCTAGCACACAGAGTTAACTCCGTGTTGCTGCTAGCACACAGAGTTAACTCCGTGTTGCTGCTAGCACAGAGTTAACTCCGTGTTGCTGCTAGCATACAGAGTTAACTCCGTGTGTTGCTGCTAGCATACAGAGTTAACTCCGTGTTGCTGCTAGCATACAGAGTTAACTCCGTGTTGCTGCTAGCATACAGAGTTAACTCCGTGTTGCTGCTAGCACACAGAGTTAACTCCGTGTTGCTGCTAGCATACAGAGTTAACTCCGTGTTGCTGCTAGCATACAGAGTTAACTCCGTGTTGCTGCTAGCATACAGAGTTAACTCCGTGTTGCTGCTAGCACACAGAGTTAACTCCGTGTTGCTGCTAGCACACAGAGTTAACTCCGTGTTGCTGCTAGCACACAGAGTTAACTCCGTGTTGCTGCTAGCATACAGAGTTAACTCCGTGTTGCTGCTAGCACACGGAGTTAACTCTCTGTGCTGCATGTAGCAGCTGTGTGTGTGTGCGTGTGTGTGTTGCTGCATGTAGCAGCTGTGTGTGTGTGTTGCTGCATGTAACAGCTGTGTGTGTGTGTGTGTGTTGCTGCTGTGTGTGTGTGTGTGTGTTGCTGCATGTAGCAGCTCTGTGTGTGTGTGTTGCTGCATGTAACAGCTGTGTGTGTGTGTGCGCGTGTGTGTTGCTGCATGTAGCAGCTGTGTGTGTGTGTGTGTGTGTTGCTGCATGTAGCAGCTGTGTGTGTGTGTGTGTGTGTGTTGCTGCATGTAGCAGCTGTGTGTGTGTGCGTGTGTGTGTGTGTTGCTGCATGTAGCAGCTCTGTGTGTGTGTGTTGCTGCATGTAACAGCTGTGTGTGTGTGTGTGTGTGTTGCTGCATGTAGCAGCTCTGTGTGTGTGTGTGTGTGTGTGTGTGTGTGTGTGTGTGTGTGTGTGTGTGTGTGAACTGCCCCGCCTCCTCCACACAGACGGGGAGAGATCTCTTCTGGAAAGATCGAAAATATATCAGACGCATTTTCTTTTCTTTTAGCATGTTAGAAACGAGTCGGCGACACCAAGACTGCGAGATAATGTTTTTGTAGCAACAATACATGACATATATTTTAAATGTCTCCGGTACCGATAAAAAGACCGATAACATTGGAGCTTAACGGCGCACAAAACACACGTGATGACGTCACCAACGAATCGACGACTGAATTAGTTGGCAACTAATTTGGTCATCGATTTTAAGTCGATTAGTTGTTGCACCCCTACAACACACACGTTTTTTTACAACAGATATAGGAATCTACGGAGGCCTGTAAGGGTCAGGGGAGGTCAGCGAAATACCGACATGTGACGTCATCTATCATCAGCAGTGTTTCTCAAAGTGTGGTCCGTGGACCCCGGGTGGTCTGCGAGTATATTGGTAACATTTCACATAAATAATAAATAAACTCAAAGTTTCATGTGTGAACGATACAGAGAGGTGAAGCTGTCATGGGTTACTGCTGGAGTGAGCAGGCCGCTTGATTCTGGGTATTTGGGAGGCAGGTGGTCTGCGAGGGTTTCTATTGGCTAAGAGGTCTGAGAATCACTGCTCTCCAGCGTCAGTTCCCCCTCAGAGGGATGTGTGGTGTCAGTACTCACGATGTCCTGGCAGATGTAGCCGATGGCCTCCAGCGTGGACTCCTTCATGTGCTCCGTGCTGGAGGGGTCCGTCACGTTGGCCACCAGCTGGGGGATCAGCTCGGGCCACTGGTTCACGGGGATCTCTGCACAGGCGATACCTGCCACACACTGAGAGGCTGAGCTGGGCCGGTACGTCTCTGTGCCGAGGGTCTGCAGCACCTGGGGAGGAGGGGGGGGGAGGTGAGGGACTTTACCTTATCACTTCCTGGAGAACTACTTAAAGCTCTCCTATTATACTATTTTTAGGCATATTTCAAGGCTTTTATTGTAACGTGTGCAGAGCTACAGTCGATCCGATCGCAGGTATATAAAAACATGTCTACAATGTGTTTTTTGGGGGGTGGGGGTGAGGAACTACAGGTGAGAGCACCTGATAAAATAACGATTAATATAAAATATTAGTTTTTATTTCTTCTGAAATTAGAACTAAGACTGTGTGTGTGTGTGTTGGTCTCAGATGTTGTGGTTGTGTTTATCCATCACACTTCAGAGTGGTGCATGATTTCTCTTCATTGACCAACATACGCACAAACATTTCTTTACAACAGATATATTTAGGAAACTACGAAGATGTGTGTGTGTGTGTGTGTGTTTGAGTGTGTGTGTGTGTGTGTGACTGTGTGCGTGTGTGACTGTGTGCGACTGAGTGTGTGTGTGTGTGTGACTGTGTGTGTGTGTGTGTGTGACTGTGTGTGTGTATGTATGTGTGTGTGACTGTGTGTGTGTATGTGTGTGAGTGTGTGACTGTGTGTGTGAGTGTGTGACTGAGTGTGTGTGAGTGTGTGACTGAGTGTGTGTGTGAGTGTGTGTGTGTGTGAGTGTGTGTGTGTGACTGAGTGTGTGTGAGAGGTGAAGAACTACAGGTGAGAGCAGCTACACCCCTTCCTGGAGGAATAACTTAAAGGTCTCCCATCATGCTGTTTGTAGGCAGATGTTACGGGTCTCAGATGTTACGGGTCTCAGATGCTACGGGTCTCAGATGCTACGGGTCTCAGATGCTACGGGTCTCAGATGCTACGGGTCTCAGATGCTACGGGTCTCAGATGCTACGGGGTAGGTCTCAGATGCTACGGGGTCTCAGATGCTACGGGTCTCAGATGCTACGGGTCTCAGATGCTACGGGTCTCAGATGCTACGGGTCTCAGATGTTACGGGTCTCAGATGCTACGGGTCTCAGATGCTACGGGTCTCAGATGCTACGGGTCTCAGATGCTACGGGTCTCAGATGCTACGGGTCTCAGATGCTACGGGTCTCAGATGCTACGGGTCTCAGATGCTAGGGGTCTCAGATGCTACGGGTCTCAGATGCTACGGGTCTCAGATGCTACGGGTCTCAGATGCTACGGGTCTCAGATGCTACGGGTCTCAGATGCTACGGGTCTCAGATGCTACGGGTCTCAGATGCTACGGGTCTCAGATGTTACGGGTCTCAGATGCTACGGGTCTCAGATGCTACGGGTCTCAGATGTTACGGGTCTCAGATGCTACGGGTCTCAGATGCTACGGGTCTCAGATGTTACGGGTCTCAGATGTTACGGGTCTCAGATGTTACGGGTGGGTCTCAGATGCTACGGGTCTCAGATGCTACGGGTCTCAGATGCTACGGGTCTCAGATGCTACGGGTCTCAGATGCTACGGGTCTCAGATGCTACGGGTCTCAGATGCTACGGGTCTCAGATGCTACGGGTCTCAGATGTTACGGGTCTCAGATGTTACGGGTGGGTCTCAGATGCTACGGGTCTCAGATGCTACGGGTCTCAGATGTTACGGGTCTCAGATGTTACGGGTCTCAGATGTTACGGGTCTCAGGTGTTACGGGTCTCAGGTGTTACGGGTCTCAGATGTTACGGGTCTCAGGTGTTACGGGTCTCAGATGTTACGGGTCTCAGATGTTACGGGTCTCAGATGTTACGGGTCTCAGATGTTACGGGTCTCAGATGTTACGGGTCTCAGGTGTTACGGGTCTCAGATGTTAGAATATTGCTCAAAACACCAAACAGATCATTCTAGCCTCATAAAATGGTATGAGGTGTTGCATTGTTGATTCTAGCCGAAGATAGTTCAGGATAACAAATGTTCAAAGAACTCAGTGAGAACCTGAAATACCGTGAGGAGGTTTCCCACCATGGACTATAATCCTCTGAGCTGTCGTTCAGCCGGTCTGATTCTATGAGTCGTATAAAAGACTTCAGAAAGTGCCTTTTTCATGATAGGAGCCCTTTAAAGCAGCAGGTAAACAACAACAACAACAACAGGATGTCTCTTACGTAGTTCTTGATCTCGCGCCGGGCGTTCCCGTCGATGGCCAGCCATCTCTGCTGGTACTGCGTCTTCACGTCGGAGTCTTTGGACGTCAGGGAGTTCTTCACCTGCAGACCGGAGGCCACCCGAGCCACCTGGGTGTTCCCGGGGTTAGCGAGCACCTTCGAGAGCTCCACCAGGAACGTGGGCTGAGGGGGGGTCAGAGTGTTATCTCATCATATAGTGTTATACTGTGAGCTCCACCAGGAACGTGGGCTGAGGGGGGGTCAGAGTGTTATCTCATCATATAGTGTTATACTCTGAGCTCCACCAGGAACGTGGGCTGAGGGGGGTCAGAGTGTTATCTCATCATATAGTGTTATACTCTGAGCTCCACCAGGAACGTGGGCTGGAGGGGGTCAGAGTGTTATCTCATCATATAGTGTTATACTCTGAGCTCCACCAGGAACGTGGGCTGGAGGGGGTCAGAGTGTTATCTCATCATATAGTGTTATACTCTGAGCTCCACCAGGAACGTGGGCTGAGGGGGGGTCAGAGTGTTATCTCATCATATAGTGTTATACTCTGAGCTCCACCAGGAACGTGGACTGAGGGGGGTCAGAGTGTTATCTCATCATATAGTGTTATACTCTGAGCTCCACCAGGAACGTGGGCTGAGGGGGGGTCAGAGTGTTATCTCATCATATAGTGTTATACTCTGAGCTCCACCAGGAACGTGGGCTGAGGGGGTCAGAGTGTTATCTCATCATATAGTGTTATACTCTGAGCTCCACCAGGAACGTGGGCTGAGGGGGGGTCAGAGTGTTATCTCATCATATAGTGTTATACTCTGAGCTCCACCAGGAACGTGGGCTGGAGGGGGTCAGAGTGTTATCTCATCATATAGTGTTATACTCTGATCTCCACCAGGAACGTGGGCTGGAGGGGGTCAGAGTGTTATCTCATCATATAGTGTTATACTCTGAGCTCCACCAGGAACGTGGGCTGAGGGGGGTCAGAGTGTTATCTCATCATATAGTGTTATACTCTGAGCTCCACCAGGAACGTGGACTGGAGGGGGTCAGAGTGTTATCTCATCATATAGTGTTATACTCTGATCTCCACCAGGAACGTGGGCTGGAGGGGGTCAGTGTGTTATCTCATCATATAGTGTTATACTCTGAGCTCCACCAGGAACGTGGGCTGAGGGGGGGTCAGAGTGTTATCTCATCATATAGTGTTATACTCTGAGCTCCACCAGGAACGTGGGCTGAGGGGGGGGTCAGTGTTATCTCATCATATAGTGTTATACTCTGATCTCCACCAGGAACGTGGGCTGAGGGGGGGTCAGAGTGTTATCTCATCATATAGTGTTATACTCTGAGCTCCACCAGGAACGTGGGCTGGAGGGGGTCAGAGTGTTATCTCATCATATAGTGTTATACTCTGAGCTCCACCAGGAACGTGGACTGGAGGGGGTCAGAGTGTTATCTCATCATATAGTGTTATACTCTGAGCTCCACCAGGAACGTGGACTGAGGGGGGGTCAGAGTGTTATCTCATCATATAGTGTTATACTCTGAGCTCCACCAGGAACGTGGGCTGGAGGGGGGGTCAGAGTGTTATCTCATCATATAGTGTTATACTCTGAGCTCCACCAGGAACGTGGGCTGAGGGGGGGTCAGAGTGTTATCTCATCATATAGTGTTATACTCTGAGCTCCACCAGGAACGTGGGCTGGAGGGGGTCAGAGTGTTATCTCATCATATAGTGTTATACTCTGAGCTCCACCAGGAACGTGGACTGGAGGGGGTCAGAGTGTTATCTCATCATATAGTGTTATACTCTGAGCTCCACCAGGAACGTGGGCTGAGGGGGTCAGAGTGTGCAATATATATACAGGGTGTGTGTGTGTTGGTCTCAGATGTTGTGGTTGTGTTTATCCATCACACTTCAGAGTGGTGCATGATTTCTCTTCATTGACCAACACACACGTTTGTATTAAAGAGATATAAGAAACTACAGAGGCCTGTGAGGGTGAGGGGGAAGTCAACATGTGTGTGTGACAATATAAATATACAGCTTTATAATAATCATTATGACTGGCTGCTATCTCTTAGTTAGAATATTCAACTACTGTAACGCCGTCTTTAGTGAGTGTGAAATATAGCCTTTCCCACCTGGCTGCTATCCCTCTCATTCTACCTGTAAACACTTCCTGTTCTCCACCTGGACGGGTACCTCTTCTAAAGTGTGTCCTCTCTCTCTGAGATGTTAGGCATGTCTGAGAGCAGCTGTCTCCATGTGCCCCCTCTGAACATGTGCCGCTACCAGAGGGTCTCTTATGATAGATGGAAACACTAAACATGATGATGAAAGAGAGTGAATCATCAGCTCCAGGGTCTGCATTGCCGTTAATCGAACGGTTCATTAATGAAGGTGCTGCATGGTTTCCTCTGAGGGTCTCCAGCAGCTGAGGGATGGATCTCTGCCCCCCCCCCCCCCCCCCACTCAGATATTTTCCTCCCATCATATCTCAGTAATGCTTTATCACTGCAAACGTCCCAGCATGCTCTCTGGTGCTCCTACACACTTCCTCTGTTAAAGGAGCACACGCACCGGGGGGAGTGTGTGTTTCTGCTGAAGTTTAAACTGTCTGCTTCATTCACACACATCTGCTCTCTGAGCTCAACCCCACTCAGAGATGCATCTGAGAGGAGTTAGTGTCTGTGGGGACTGACTTTCAATACATTCATTCTGGATGAAAGCACAGGTAACACTCGTCTGGGTGGAAAGGGCTTTGGTAACGGCATGCTTTTCAATCATATTCAAGGAGGATGGTTGGGGGGGCTTCTCGGTTACTGCTCAGCTCATCACATTCACAACTAGTTTCAGAGAGTCTCACATCTGATGGGTGCAGCTCCGGGAAATGCAACGCTAGCAGAGTGTGTGTGTGTGTGTGTGTGTGTGTGTGTGTGTGTGTGTGTGTCAGGCACTCACCAGGTTCTCTACCGCCGCCTGCTCCAGAAACTTCTGCGCCGCCTCCAGTTCATTGCGATCTGATGGGAGAGAGAGTTACTGAGTGTAATGTTAGCTCTGATGCTAGCTCACAGATATGAGCAGGAACTAAGCTCCAGTAGAACAGGTTCAGCCGCTCCTCTGAAGCACATGTTCTCCCGGCTCACTTCACCTAAGAGCCGCTGAAGCTGCCCCCCGCCCGGCAGCGAGGCTCCAGCGTGTGTTAGCCGTTAGCATGTAGCATTACGTGTGTTAGCTCCCCCGTTAGCATGTAGCACCGGGGACACGTTTAGTGCGACGGTGTAAAGTTTTCCGGACTCCCAACAAACCTGTTTTAAAGACCACTAACTCAGATCTCCCACATGGGGAGGGGGGATACATGATATTAATATCACACCTCAGATGGATGATGCTACCCCCATGATTAGGGGAGTGTTCCCTATCCTCACAGCGGCTCTCAGGTGAATTGAGCCGGGAAAACATGCGGAGGGGCGGCCGTTTGGTACAAGCTAACAGCTAACTTGTGGTGCGGCTACACCGGGCAGCTGTCAGACCCCCACCCAAAAGGGAGCTCCATCCACACGGGTATCTCATGACAGCATGTTGATAGCTCTACTGACGGACCCAGGAGAAGAGTTCCGCAGATAAACTGTAACTAAATATATTATAATAGAGATTAAGAAGCCGGACAGGAGGCTATGAGGCCGGTTAGCACCACGAGCTAATGGTTAGCATTAGCTGTTAGCATCTCCTAACTTTCCCCGGAGATAACGGCTAACACCCCAGTTTCACAGCTTCTTGTTGCAGTTTGACAGCGGAACTCTCATTCAAAACGGAGCTGTAAACACGCTGTCATAATAATATATATGACAATACTGTAACCGTGTGTGTGGATCTCTGGAGGATCTGATCTAAACTCGTTAGCTGTTAGCTTGTATCAAACGGCCGCTCCTTCGCATGTTTCCCGGCTGTTAGCATCACGAGCTAACTGTTAGCATCTCCTCCTAACTCTCCCCTGATGTGACGGAGCTAACTACTACCACCACAGAAACACCCCCAAATCCCCCCGGACATCATGCACCAGACCCCGGGTAGACTGCGGGTGATTCTGCGGTTCTTTGACCCACCTGGAGAGACGGTCTTCTCGAGGATCGTGATGAGCTCCATGCTCCCGGATCTCTCTTCGCGCTCTCAGCCCGGATTACTTTCTCTCCTCAGCGCCGCGCTTCCGGCGGGGGTCGGTCGGTGATAGAGAAGAGGCGGGAGTGTTCCCCCGGTGCTCGCTCGGTGTTTGTGTCTCTCTCAAGGCGCCGTGAAGCACCGTCACCGCGAGGAAGAAGCTTCGTCACCGCGAGGAAGAAGCACCGCCGCCCGTTTACCTCCTGTGTGTCGGGAGGGAAGGAAAGAAGGGCCGCGGAGGGATATCACGCTCTGACGGGACGGTGTGCGGTCTTCAGGGACCGTGGGAAGAGTTAATATAGCGCAGGGAATCATTCAAATTAATGTATTATTTAACTGAATTAAACACCTTAATTAACTCTATTGTTTACTTACTCAACAAATAATATATATTTTATTTCATACATAATTAAAATACTGGTATTATAGAAAGATAGCTGTGAAATCAAACTGGAAAAACTGTTTATTCTGGAAAATCTTAACATGACAAAAGAGTAAAAAAAGGCTGTAACTATTTTATATATATTACATTATTACTCATGCTGAGAACCAGAGAGAGAACCAGAGAGACAGAGAGAACCAGAGAGAGAGAGAGAACCAGAGAGACAGAGAGACAGAGAGACAGAGAACCAGAGAACCAGAGAGACAGAGAGACAGAGAACCAGAGAACCAGAGAGACAGAGAACCAGAGAACCAGAGAGACAGAGAACCAGAGAACCAGAGAGAGAGACACAGACAGAGAACCAGAGAGAGAACTCATGCTGATTGTAACCTGATTTCACTGTTAATGTAATTTTCAACAAAAAAACACTGATTTATTTGTAGGAATCTGCTGAGTATCCTCTCCATGTATCCATACAACATGCAGTACAACATGCAGCTGGTCGTTTTATTATAATTATAATGATTTAATATGAACCCACAAAGACTCAGATTTTAAATGTCGTTTAAAAAAAAGTCATGAAAGTTTGAGATGACGAAAAGGCTGAAAATAAATCGTAGCTGCAGTTTACGAGGAGCACCTGAATGCAACACTACACTCCTCTTCCGCTCGCTCCCTTGAGCTATTCTTTTGCGCGCTATAACACGCACGCGCGCACGTGCTTCCGCCTTTATTCAGGCTTTTGTTTTTCTGCTAAAATCTTTGTTTTGAATCCAGTTTTCTGCAAACAGAAAGCGACTCAAAGCTGCATCCTGATCAAATGAAGATATAATGTTTGTGTCTTTGACATTAGCGCTGCTATGCAGCCACCAGTAGACTGTACCACGAAGCCAGTTCCACAGACCCTGGATATGTCTGAGTTATCTTAACTAACCCTAACAAACGAGATCTCGCTAAGCGGTCCTACCACGCTGATCTGTCCGGCTGAGAGCGCGTTCAAGGGGCGGGGCTAGCAACATTTGACCAATCACAAACATGGACAAGCGTACTGACAGCGCAGCGTCATACTTCACTAATGAAAATGAAACTATAATATTAGACAAATATGAAGAAGTTAAACTTTAAACATCCATGACTTAAACACTTTATCCAGGACGGATATATACATGCAAGGTGAATACAGAACATCTGGTTAGAAAATCAATACACTACAGAGTGTTTGAATGCGCAGGCCTACATTAACAGGTTTATGGCATCACTGCCTCATCTAAGACACGAGTGATCTGCCTTAATAATTAAACAATTTACATAATTACATTTGAGTTGAGTGTTTCTTCAACTTAATGTGTTGCTTAAAATAATACTTCTGCATACAGTAGGCCATGTGACACTGTAAGTGTTGCACGGCCAGATGCGGCTCGAGAAGCTGACTCAGATAAGGAGATATATGACATATTTATGATATTGTATGATCGATGATCTGATTAATGATGTGATATGAACGATAAGTGCGACACGTCGGCGTCTCCCCTGCATACAGCAGCTGTTCTGCATTTCCTTTCTCCTGTAATATGACTTGATAGATTTAAACTCCGCACACTGAGCTCTGATTGGCCAGCAGGCGGTGCTTTCACTGAGTTGATCTCTTTTCTATAGACGCCGGAGGCGGGCAGCGTCAGGTAAAACAAGTTAGCCTTCCCAAACCTGAGCCTCACGCGCCGCCTATGGTCTGCAGGTTTCAGGTTAAAGAACTGAGCTGAGCAGTGGCGAGCCGTCAGGGCCCTCAGGCCCTCCTGAGGCGAGCCGTCAGGGCCCTCCTGAGGCGAGCCGTCAGGGCCCTCCTGAGGCGAGCCGTCAGGGCCCTCCTGAGGCGAGCCGTCAGGGCCCTCAGGCCCTCCTGAGGCGAGCCGTCAGGGCCCTCAGGCCCTCCTGAGGCGAGCCGTCAGGGCCCTCAGGCCCTCCTGAGGCGAGCCGTCAGGGCCCTCCTGAGGCGAGCCGTCAGGGCCCTCCTGAGGCGAGCCGTCAGGGCCCTCCTGAGGCGAGCCGTCAGGGCCCTCAGGCCCTCCTGAGGCGAGCCGTCAGGGCCCTCCTGAGGCGAGCCGTCAGGGCCCTCCTGAGGCGAGCCGTCAGGGCCCTCAGGCCCTCCTGAGGCGAGCCGTCAGGGCCCTCCTGAGGCGAGCCGTCAGGGCCCTCCTGAGGCGAGCCGTCAGGGCCCTCCTGAGGCGAGCCGTCAGGGCCCTCAAGCCCTCCTGAGGCGAGCCGTCAGGGCCCTCAGGCCCTCCTGAGGCGAGCCGTCAGGGCCCTCAGGCCCTCCTGAGGGCCTAAGATATTCTACAAAATAATATTTAAAAACATTTACAATTTTTTGTATTAGTTTTACCAAAATAACTTCATTTAATTGTATTTAAAATAACATTTCCAAATAAATAAATCCTTCGAATCTGCCTATTCAGTTTCTGTTTGAATGTGAAGGGTTAAATGAAAGAAGCTCGTCTCTGCGAGGTGAAGAGAGGAGCTGATTGGTGGTCCTGCTGTAAATTCACAGAGGCTATAGTAACTGAACGAGAGAGTAATAATGTTCAACTAGAGAATGCAATTCCTGAAGAAATTGCAAGTGGGAATGCTTTATGCTGAAAAGCTGAAATGTAATGTGTCAGAAGAGAGTGAAGACTCTAGATTGAAATGAAACATGAACTCTGGGGGCTTGAATGTGTGATGAGAGGAGAGAGTGAAGACTCTAGATTGAAATGAAACATGAACTCTGGGGGCTTGAATGTGTGATGAGAGGAGAGAGTGAAGACTCTAGATTGAAATGAAACATGAACTCTGGGGGCTTGAATGTGGGATGAGAGGAGAGAGTGAAGACTCTAGATTGAAATGAAACATGAACTCTGGGGGCTTGAATGTGTGATGAGAGGAGAGAGTGAAGACTCTAGATTGAAATGATACATGAACTCTGGGGGCTTGAATGTGTGATGAGAGGAGAGAGTGAAGACTCTAGATTGAAATGAAACATGAACTCTGGGGGCTTGAATGTGGGATGAGAGGAGAGAGTGAAGACTCTAGATTGAAATGATACATGAACTCTGGGGGCTTGAATGTGTGATGAGAGGAGAGAGTGAAGACTCTAGATTGAAATGAAACATGAACTCTGGGGGCTTGAATGTGTGATGAGAGGAGAGAGTGAAGACTTTAGATTGAAATGAAACATGAACTCTGGGGGCTTGAATGTGGGATGAGAGGAGAAAGTGAAGACTCTAGATTGAAATGAAACATGAACTCTGGGGGCTTGAATGTGGGATGAGAGGAGAGAGTGAAGACTCTAGATTGAAATGAAACATGAACTCTGGGGGCTTGAATGTGTGATGAGAGGAGAGAGTGGAGACTCTAGATTGAAATGAAACATGAACTCTGGGGGCTTGAATGTGTGATGAGAGGAGAGAGTGAAGACTCTAGATTGAAATGAAACATGAACTCTGGGGGCTTGAATGTGTGATGAGAGGAGAAAGTGAAGACTCTAGATTGAAATGAAACATGAACTCTGGAGGCTTGAATGTGGGATGAGAGGAGAAAGTGAAGACTCTAGATTGAAATGAAACATGAACTCTGGAGGCTTGAATGTGTGATGAGAGGAGAGAGTGGAGACTCTAGATTGAAATGAAACATGAACTCTGGGGGCTTGAATGTGTGATGAGAGGAGAGAGTGAAGACTCTAGATTGAAATGAAACATGAACTCTGGGGGCTTGAATGTGTGATGAGAGGAGAAAGTGAAGACTCTAGATTGAAATGAAACATGAACTCTGGGGGCTTGAATGTGGGATGAGAGGAGAGAGTGAAGACTCTAGATTGAAATGAAACATGAACTCTGGGGGCTTGAATGTGGGATGAGAGGAGAGAGTGAAGACTTTAGATTGAAATGAAACATGAACTCTGGGGGCTTGAATGTGTGATGAGAGGAGAGAGTGAAGACTCTAGATTGAAATGAAACATGAACTCTGGGGGCTTGAATGTGTGATGAGAGGAGAGAGTGAAGACTTTAGATTGAAATGAAACATGAACTCTGGGGGCTTGAATGTGGGATGAGAGGAGAGAGTGAAGACTCTAGATTGAAATGAAACATGAACTCTGGGGGCTTGAATGTGTGATGAGAGGAGAGAGTGAAGACTCTAGATTGAAATGAAACATGAACTCTGGGGGCTTGAATGTGTGATGAGAGGAGAGAGTGAATACTCTAGATTGAAATGAAACATGAACTCTGGGGGCTTGAATGTGGGATGAGAGGAGAAAGTGAAGACTCTAGATTGAAATGAAACATGAACTCTGGGGGCTTGAATGTGGGATGAGAGGAGAGAGTGAAGACTCTAGATTGAAATGAAACATGAACTCTGGGGGCTTGAATGTGGGATGAGAGGAGAGAGTGAAGACTCTAGATTGAAATGAAACATGAACTCTGGGGGCTTGAATGTGTGATGAGAGGAGAGAGTGAAGACTCTAGATTGAAATGAAACATGAACTCTGGGGGCTTGAATGTGTGATGAGAGAAGAGAGTGAAGACTTTAGATTGAAATGAAACATGAACTCTGGGGGCTTGAATGTGTGATGAGAGGAGAGAGTGAAGACTCTAGATTGAAATGAAACATGAACTCTGGGGGCTTGAATGTGGGATGAGAGGAGAGAGTGAAGACTCTAGATTGAAATGAAACATGAACTCTGGGGGCTTGAATGTGTGATGAGAGGAGAGAGTGAAGACTCTAGATTGAAATGAAACATGAACTCTGGGGGCTTGAATGTGTGATGAGAGGAGAGAGTGAAGACTCTAGATTGAAATGAAACATGAACTCTGGGGGCTTGAATGTGG